GTGTTATTATAATAAAATTTCTCATGAGGTTTATTATTGTCCTTAAATGTTCTTGCTGTGATCTTCTGAACAAAGAAATGAAGTCTTTGTAGACTCTTATTTTATGTTCATTCAGTTTTCTTTCGGGTTATCTGAATCAAATAGAGATGTGAACTGTAAGCTAACAGTTAATATAAATTGGGATGTAAAATTATATATAGTTTTATATCAATTTACAGTTTACATCTCTTTCGGTTCAAAAATCTTGAACTGAAATTTTATATCATAAACATAATTCGTCAAAATTTTAAAAAAGTAGCAAGATAACATGGCAAAAATTTAGTAAAAAATTTTTTAAATAACTTTTAGAATTGATTTTAAAAAAAGGTTTATTGAATTTGATTAAGTTATTTTTGTTTAAAGTTTACATAGAAAAATATGGTGCATTTCACTGACTCACCCCATATAAAACGTTTTTGAAAAAAGGTATAAACTTTATTATGTAGTTGTAACTCATTCATTGCAATATTTATTCTCATATTTATTCCAAAGTTATTTATTTTTTTCTTCATAAATTTTGGTATCTCATTATTATTTCAACAAATTATCAATGATAACACCAAATTTCAACCTATGATTTCTAAGTTAACCTTCTTTTATCTCTAAGTAAACTTGTTTTTCTGATTATAATAGTAGCAATATTATCAAAATCGAATCAGTAAAGGAGGAGATATAACATTTTAAAAGTTACAAAAAATTATATATTTTGGAATTAAGAATTGTCGTTATTGATTTCGCGACCAGAACCAAGTATAAGAAATAATAATAAATCAAATAATTTAATAAAGGACATTGCAATTAACAGAAATACGATCCAGACTATATAATTTTCCTGTATGAGAACGGGTTATTCAGTCAAGCTTTTATAATTGTCTTTGTCCAGAGCATAATTTTTACGCAAGGTGATACAAAAGTTATGTTATTGATGCATCAAAAAGGTAACTAATTTTAGCTGAAATGCATCTACATAAACATTATGAACGTGAAGATAGTCTATATTTGTGCTTTAACTGCCAAGGGAAAAGGGCACCTCAGCTTTTTAAGTATATTACAGTATTAATTATTAGCCTAATCCGGCCCTTCTGATCAACGCATAAGATATTTCCTTTTAAATCGAACCCTCGCTCACTACTGGAAAAATTTTCTTTATTATCTTCGTATTAGAATTTTAATCAAAGATGTCAATATGAATCCGGAAGTTGATGTTAATTCAAATTAGTTGTCAATACAGAATTTATAACTTTCATTTAATAGTGCATTAACAATAAAATAAATTTAGATTTACATAAATATTTAAGAGAAAAAAATCTTAAGGAAAAAAAATCTTAAATAAATATAAATACAAAAACCTATATATACTTGTTAAATAATACTAGCAGTACGAGATTAAGTAATACTTTCAGTATGGGTTTAAATATAATATTTATTACGGTTATTAGAATTGAAAATGGTATAAAAAAATTAACTACGTGTATGAAATGCATTATGATGACCCCATAAATCAGCAGCGCATGATCGGACACAACCCCACTGAATGAATTTTTTGCTAGGGTCACTATTAAAAACCCAAAGAGCTTCAATAATTTTATCAAAATTGTCTGTCGCATCAGCTAAAGGGACTGTAATATTTTTTCTTTCTTCAGTATATTCGATACCAGGTTTCATAAAATCTTCTTCATTAATAGCGCATATACCAAAGATATTTGTTAGATTAAGTTCATTTAATTTTTGTGAAAATTCTTTAAGGAACGATTGAATTTCAGAAGAGGTGAAGTCTATTTTCTTTAAGTATAATAGACGAAGTTGAAGTGTAAATAGAATATTGAAACCCAATATGATAAAATAAATATTTACTTTGTCTTTGTCCTCAAGCCTAAATTCGTAA